GGGGGGGGGGGGGGGGGGGGGGGGGGGGGGGGGGGCTGGCCTTAGAGGAACGCAGCCCAAAAGGGACCAAGCGTTTGACCATCCTCACTGGCTTTAAAACAAATAAAGAGTAAAAATAAAAGTCCATAAACCTTCCCGTGGTTCATGTGCTTCTGTGAGAGGAACGAGCCGCAGGATCCATTTGTGGGGTCAGCTGAGGGCCTTCCCCAAGCCCAGGGGAAGCGGTGTGCTGGGCCGGCCCTGACGGGTTGCCCAACGTCGGTCAATAGGTATGTGCCAGGCACTGACCTAGGTGCTGAGAGACTGAAGATGAATTTAATGGGGTCCCCGGCCTCCAGGAATTCATTGCTGTCTACTGGAGGAAATGATCTGTGTGGAGAAGTAGGTGCCAGGAGGAAAAGGTAATGGGGGAGAGGCTAGAAGAACTACAATTAATTGAACACCTGCTAATTTCTCTCACGGGGAACGCCTGGATCTTCTCACCTGGCCCCACAGGAGACCTGGGAAGCAGGCAGTGCAGTCACCGTGTGGACGAGAAAATCGAGGCTCAGGAAGCACCACGCCAAGTCACGGGGACGGGAAGTGGCCACCTCAGAGCCAACGGCAAGGCCCTCTCGTCTACCTCCCCAGGCTGCAAAAGGGGACCCAATAGCCTTTTCTGCAAAATGAGAAGCTGGAACTAGGTGTACTTCAAAGACCGTTCCAACTTTAACCATCTATGCAAACACCAACAAAGCCTAAGGGGCCACAAACAGCTTGTCCCCTCTTCTGTCCCAACAAGTCCTTCAGCCCATCCCTGGGGCCCCCAAGGAGGAGAATCTGGCCTGTGGAGTCAGCGCAAGTGGGAATGAGGAAGGGGGAAGACCCAGGCTGGGAGCCTCCCAGAAAGTGAGGCACCACCTTCCAAAATACCCTTTGTGGACCCAGAGGACAGAGGAGGATGTGACAAGAAAGTGTAGAGAGCTGGCCATCAGCTCAGTTGGTAGAGTGTGGTGCTGACAACACCCAGGTCAAGGGTTCAACACCTGTGCGAGCCAGCTGCCAAAAAATTTTTTTAATTTAATTTAATTTTTATTAAATTTTATTGTTTTTTATTATTATTTTTTTATTTTTATTTTGTCAATATACAATGTAGTTGATTGTTGTGTTAAATTTTATTTTAAATTTTTAATTAAATCAAGCCTGGGGAAAGGTTTTCCTGGAGACTTTTGCTGAGCTAATCAAAACCTCTTTCAATCTCCAATGCAGAATGCTTTAAGGTCTAACCCACACTCCGTGAAGGTGCTGTTGCAGTGAGTTACTGTGAAGTCGCAGGGAGAGGCAGGAAACACCGAGGCTTAAACAGGATACAGTTTGTTGATATGCCGGCATTGTCTCAGCAGACTCTTGTCCAAAGGCTGAGCCCCGAATGCAGCCGGGCTGTTATTTTTATATCATAGCATCTCTGGGTTTTTGTAACAGGGCAAGAGAAGTGATCTTATGATTTTATGTGGTTATGACTCTGGCTCAGGGTGGAAAAATACAGCAAGGAAGAAGGAGAAGCAGGGTGATAAAATTCTGTTACAGGAGTGTGTGTGAACTGCAATGTGAGACAAGGCAAGGGTGCAGCTGCATGACATCTGGGTGAGGGTCTTGGTTACAGCATAGCAGGGCACAGCTGGGCAAACATGAGTACATAATGGCCACAGCCGGGCGGGACACAGCCAGGTAAGTACGAGCGCCTCAGTGCCTCACGTGCGGGAGTTGGTGTCTCTCCTCTACAGTGGGGAGAAAACAAAGGCAGCTCCCAGGAGTCGAGCGCAGTGTGTGTGCTCCCAGCCAGAGCAGGCAGCAGCTGGCCTCAAATCCCACTGAGGAGCCCTCGCTGACATGGCTGTCCTGAGGGGCACCCTACAGAGGCTGCAGCTGGAGGGACGTCGGCTGGAGAGGACCCAAAGACTCAGCACAGGCCACAGAGATGGAGGCTGGCTGTGTGCTCTGGGAGCCACAGGGAGCACAACATTCACCGAGCCCCACAGGCTTGCAGGGAGCTGTCCACAAGTTGCTAGGCAGGTATGGAGGAAGATGTCATGTAAAACAGCTTGTTTCTTAGGCATATTATATTCTTTCCTAAAGTATATTATGAGCTTAACTGTTCTATTATATAACCATAACTCTTGCATGTGTGATTCAAGTCATTTGGGGTCAGTATTAAGTCAAGCTTGGGGAAAGTTTTTCCCGGAGACTTTTGCTGAGCTGATCAAAACCTCTTTCAGTCTCAGAGTTCTGGGACACCTGACACTGGAACCTCTGGCTAAAAGACTGCAGCTTCCTAGCCGTCCCTTCCAACTCCTCTCCTGCCTCCATGTGTGGCCTGAACATAAGGGCCCAGCCCGGGAGAGGCACTGCCTCCATTTCACTAATCATCCTGCTTAAGCCTATTCAAAAGACTAGACTTTGTCCCGGGGTCCCGCTGGGGTCCTGAGGTTGGAGCCAGGGGAAGCCAAACCCAGCTGCAACCAAGTAAAGAGCACACCAAAAACACTATTTCCGTGCAGGTAGGCTACCACAGCCACCGCAGTTGCCATGGCTGCCACAAAAGCAGCTAGTCTCTATAGCAGCAGTCACAGCCACCGTGCAGATGGCACGCCAGACTCAACTGCATTGACACGAGAGGCATCAGCAGAGACCAAAAAGAATCCAAACAAACGAAAAAAGAAGGAAGAGGTCCTCTCTCCACAAAGCCCACTCCAGAGTAACAGCAGCAGCATCTGCTTTACAATAACAGGGGAGGACTGGACCACACCTGTCCCAGCACTGGACAGATCATCTGGGCAACAAACCAGCAGGGGAACAGCTAATCTATCAGATGGAGAGAACAAATCTACGGTTACTAGAGGGGGAGGGGAGGGGAAGATGAAAGGAGAGGGAAGGGGACTGGGGGAGAAGAAGGGGGAGAAGTGGGCTCAACTCCTAGCCCCACCGCCCTCTGTGTCCTTGGGTGAGCTATTTAACCTCTGTGCCTCAGTTTACTCATCTGTAAAATAAGAATGATTGAAGAGATGAAGATGAAGGGGGAGGGAGAGGGGAACGGGAAGAAGAATCGGGAGAGGGTGGGTAAGGGGGAGGGGGAGGCTGAATTAGGGGCATAAAGAATAAGTATGATTTGTAACAATGAATACACCAATAAAAATAAATTTTAAAAAAAATTTAAAAATTGGTTAATGGGCACAAAAACAAAACAAAAAAGACTAGAATTTGAGTTTGAGGTAGTCAAAGGGGCATGACCAGACTCTTGAGGGTAATTTTGCATAAGCCTCGCCCTCTGCAGGTGTGCACATGAGTGCATGTGTGTGTGTGCATGAGTGCAGGTGTATGTGCGCATGAATGCGTGTGTGTGTGCACGAGTGCGTGTGTGTGTGTGCACGAGTGCGTGTGTGTGCGCACGAGTGCGTGTGTGTGCATGAGTGCGTGTGTGTG